AGCTACTGAACCTGCACTCAAGAGCCCGCAAGCCACAACTACTGAGCCCACGTGCCACAACTACTGAAGCCTGTGTGCCTAGAGCCCGTGCTCCACAACAAGAGAAGCCACCACAATGAGAAGCCCACGCACCTCAGTGAAGAGTAGCCCCCGCTCACCGCAACTAGAGAAAGCCCGCGCACAGCAACGATGACCCAACACAGCCAAAAAACAAAACAAACAAATAAATAAATTTATTAAAATAAATAAATAAAATAAGTGGTGAGGACTGAAAGCCTGGCCTTATTCCTGATCTTATAGGGAAATCATTCAGTACTTTAACTTTAAGTGTCATGTTATCTGTAGTCTTTTTATAGTTTCTCTTTATTAAGTTGAGGAAGTTCCCTTCTACTGCATTTCACAGTAAAGGGTATATTTGTCTTTTTTTTTTCTTGCTACTCAGGCTTTAAACTCCTTACTCATGTTTGGGGACTCCTCCACCCTTTAAGTCTTGGAGTAAGTTAAAGCCTTCCTTGCAATATGGAATCACAAATGCCAACCACACAGATTCTCAGTGTCCTTGCAGTACAGGTAGGATCACATGACCTAGTGCAAGGGCACATGACTAGGCTCAGTCAATCAGATGCATAGGGGACTTTGACTGAAAGATGTAGGGCCAGCAAAGAATCCATTCTGGTGACAGAGGTGACAGTGGCCATATCTTGTTTCCGGGGCAGCAATAGGGCTAGGTTTGGTTCTGGCAGTAGTGGGGGTATGAGTTGTGGTATCCATCGTTCAGCAATAGCAGCTACATGACTATCTTGCCAATACGTTCTTTGTATGATTAAGTCAGCCAGAATTGGTTTCTGTTGATTACAAATAAGAACTTTAAATTGTCCAAGTAGTTAAATACCAATAAGCCCACCATAAAGAAATCTTGTTAGACGAACTGGAGATTTGTTAGATATGTTTACACTTGTTAGACAAATGTAAAACAGCCCCTGCCATACTGGGGAGCTGGCCCATCTGTGAGCGTTCTTCCTCAGGATATGGCCCTCCTCCTCCTTTCCAGCTCCTCCCCTCCCCTCTCTGTGCTTTGGCCACAGATCCATCTGAATCCTTCCAAAGTGTCATGGCCTTTCCTTCCTCCCTGGCTTTGCAGCTGTTGAGTATCTTCTCCCTGGAATGTAGTCATCATCCCTCCCTAAACTGCTGACACGGCCTCCTAATTGGTCTCCCCCTCCACATCCCCTCAGGCCCATGTCCAGTCCATATATCATACAACGGCCAGAGCCACTTCTCAAAACGTATGTCTGAGCATGTCACCACTCTGTTTAAAATCTTCCAAAGCTTCTTTATTGATCTTTGGATAAAGACTAAATTCCTCAACACGACCCTCCAGGCTCAGCATGGTCTGGCTCCTACCTACCTCTCCAGCTTACTGGAAGACACTTAGAGGTAGAAGCAGGGAACTGGATTGATGTGGAATGAGGGGGGCAAAGGAGGAGTCAAGGATGACACCCAGATTTCTGGTTGGGGCAGAGGTAGGGAAGCTCCTTAGTTTATTCACCTTTAAGATCTCAAAGGTGTGTACTAGTCAGCCTCACATCTTTTGCTAAACAGGTAGCTGAAAACCCATCCACCCACCCACCCACTCACTCACACTTCAGTCTGACGGTCAACTACCTGACCAGTCAAGCAGAGGCTTTAGGAGTGAGCTGTAGCTCTTTTATTTTTCTGTCTTTGGCTTAGCCACTTTCCCTCCCAGTGTCTTTGTTTTCTCATCTATAAAGCAGGAATAATATCAATACTTTCTCTCTTGCCTTCCCTTCCCTTTCCTTTCTCTCCCTCCCTCCCTCTCTCCTTGATAAAAAATTATTGTAAATGGTAAATTGCAGGCATGTGACTGGCCCAAGTTGAGACATAGCTGGAGATGACCATCTCCTATGAGCCTCAGTAATAGAATCTATTTGCCTTTTAGAAAAATCACTCTGGTTTTCAGGTGAGGATGTATTGCAAATAAGTTAAGACAGGAAAGAAGAGGTCTCCAGTCTTCTCAACCCTTGGAGAAATGTGTGGGGAGGTGGGCTACATGGAGGGTGGAACAAACAGACCTGCCCCAAAACTCAGGGTAATCCTGGATCCTCCACTGTCTACAGTCCGTCCCTCAGCACATGCTGTCGGCTCTACCTCCAAATATAGATGAACCCCTTTACTTCTCTTTTTTTTTTTTGGCCATGCTACATGGCTTGTGGGATCTTAGTTCCCCGACCAGGGATCGAACCTGGGCCTCCCGCAGTGGAAGTGTGGAATCCTAACCACTGGACCACCAGGGAAGTCCCACCCCTTTACTTCTCTTCATTTCTGCTGCCATCACCTTAGTCCAACCACCATCCGTTCTCTCTGACCTACTCCAATAACAGGATGCCCCGCCTCTGCTCCTGTCTCGCTCCAAAACATCTTCATCCAAAAGCCAGTGACCTCTAAAAATGTAAAGCGGGTACTGTTACTCATTTCCTAAGTCCACCGCTGGCTCCCCAAACTCCTCAGCCCTAGCCACAAGCCTGCACGGTCTGCACCACTCCTTCCCTGTTCACCCAAACCCAGGCACCCTGTTCTTCCTTGCTCCTGTGCTTCAGGAAGGCCCAGCTTCTGTCCTTGCCGCCCCCTCTGCCTGGGTGGCTCTTCCCCCGGCTCTCCCCGCACACCGCACATCGCTGAGTCCTCGCCTGCAAGGTCTCTGCCCAGAGGTGTCTCCATGAAGAGCCTCTTTCTAGGTGCACTTGCCCCCATCACTCTTTGTTCCATCACTTTTATTTCCTTCGTAACACTTATCACTGCCTGAAATTAGACTTTTTATATTTATAGAGGTCTCCTCAACATTACTACTTTTACATTTTTATTAATTTTAATTCTACTAGGAATACATAACTGTGTTGTCCAAAGAGCCTGACAGGTAAACCCCTCTTCTCCCAGTGAGATCCCTCACTGAAATGACAGCTCCGTTTGTCCTATTGACCATGATTTGTAAGTTCCTAGAACCATGCATGCATGGCACATTCCACAAACAGTTAATGAGTGAAGAGTGAATCAAGGGCCACACTCTGGCTCTACCACATATTAGCTTCCCTTTGGGGAGGGCTGGAGGAGGAGGAATCAGAGGCCAAAGTCCAGAGGAGGCAACAGATTTGGGCAAACTACTTATTTTCTCCAACTATCAGTTTGCTCATTTATTAAAAAAAAAAAAAAAGGGAAAAGAGCATTTATCTCATAGAATTGTGAGCATCAAGTAGTGCCAGGCACACCATACACCCCCTCATGAAGTTTATAGTCTAGTTGGGGGGGGGCAGTGGGGACGTACTTGAAACGCTGCGTGTTGATTCCATAGTTCACCAATCTGTTCAGTGGCCCTAGAATGTTAGAGCCACGCTTTCCAAACGGGGCTGGAAAGAGCTATGTGGGAATAGGGGTTACCCTGAAACCGTCCGATGCATCTTCCTGGACTGTTTGTTTTACTTGGAAGTAATTTTTAGCATTATGTTTTATAGTAAACTAAACACAAAGACTTATTGAGTCAAATGCAGAACTTGCCTGAATTTTAAAATCCAGGTGCTTTGGGCATCATCATGAGGAGAGGCACTGGAGATCATGTGGGAGGGTTGAGCCCCGTGTTTTCTAGGTGGGGAAATGGATGCAGAGAGTGGCCAGACCTGGCCTCTCCATCCTGGTTAGGGTCTTCTCTGGCTCACTTGGTAAGCCTCCTGTCATCATGCAGGACTCTGGTGTGCTCCTCTCAAGTCCCTGACCTCAGCAGAAACAGCAGGTAGCTTCCTCTCCTTCCCCTGTGGGAGTGAGGGTGAAGCCCAGAGGCCAAGGCCAGGAGGAAGGTTCTGGGCCCTAATCCAACTCTCCTAATTCCTAACATTGCACAGACCCTGGACCACCCTGCCTGCCCATCAACATTTCCTCTTCTCAACCATCCACTGATCTGGACATAATTATAGTAATTATACTGGGATATCCTTTCCCAATTATGTAAAACCAGCATAGGTAACTGCTTCTGAGCATAATTACAGGAGATGTTTACAGACTCACAATCACATCAGAGTAAATGATAGTTTCCTTTCCTCCCATTAATACACCAATATTAGGGCCCTATCAGGGCCAATTAGTCAAATCCCAGCAGTGAGGGGGTGGGAAAGACCTCACACTCTCCCACCACCTGCAAAGCAGGAGGGGATCTCAGGGTCCCAGCCAGGATTTTACAGGACACCCAGAAGCCTGCAGAAGTATGGGCTAACATTCACTGGACACCTACTGTGTGTCAGGCGCTCAGGGTAGGCCAGCAAACACCTAGGAACAATTCTGCACGCTGGTGTTAATATCCCACTTTCCATGTTTGTAGACTGGTTCTGAGAGGGCTGGTTTCCAGGGTCACCCACAACAGACCATGAAGCTAGGAGGGGGCTTTTCCATTATACAACTCAACGGGCCAGACTCCCAGGCCACAGCGCCGCCAGCTCTATGCCCCCTTCCTTATCTGCTCTTTTCAATGCTTCCTCTTCCGTGGCAGTCACCAAAGCTACCCTGGCTCGCCTCCGGTCCCCCTCCCACCCTCATCAGTTCCCCAGCGTTGACACTGCTTTCTCTGGCCCCCTCCGCCCCTTCTTCCTGTCCCTGTGGGGTTGTAGGGTGTTATCTCTCCAGAAGGGCGGGGAGGTGGGGTGGGGATAGGGTGGGGCATAGGGCGAAAGCCACCGCAGGCACCAGAAGTTCCCACCGACCCCCACCAGGGGCTCCGCCCGGAGCTCGGCCCCGGGGTCGCGGGCACACCTTCGGCGTCCACGATCCCTCACACGCAAAGGCCGCCCCCCGGCGTGCGCAGGGGAGCGCGCCTGCACACACGCACACCGCACAAAGACGTGCACCCCGCTCCATCCAGGCAAACGCACCCCCAATCGGTAGAGCACGCAGCGGTGCACACGCACCCGTACCCTCGCGTGCACACACGCGCACGTATACCCACCCCAGCGTGCGCCCTCACGTACACACACACGCACACACAGACACACACACACGCACACACAAGCCGGACAGCATCCTTGTGAACCCCTAATGCCGACCTCAGGGCCCTGACGCGTCCGGGCCCTGCCCAGCGGCTGGCTCGGCGGCGCGCACACACGCGCACACGGGCCCCCGCGCGCCCTCCCAGCTCGGCTGCTCGGCTCCCCAGCTCCCCGGCTCCCCGCCCCGGCCGCGGCGGTCGCTGTGAGGCGGGCGCTGTGAGGCGGGAGCTGTGCGGCGCGGCGGGACCGGGCGGGGGCGGCGACCGGGAGCGCGGAGGAGGCGGAGCAGGAGCCGGGAACCGGCTGGCCCGCACCCCTCCTGCCGGCCGGGGATTTTCCAGCCTGGGCGCTGACGCCGCGGACCTCCCTGAGGCCGCCGCGGACCATGGGCGACAAAGGGACCCGGTGAGTGCGGGCGGCGGCCGGTCCGGGGCGCGTGGGGCGACCCGGGCGAGGGCGCGGGCAGGGGTCTAGTCCGTGTCCCGGCTGTGCGTGCGCAGCCACCCCGGCACCGCCGGCGCCTGCTCCGCGGCGGCTCTCGGCTCTCCTCCACCGGAGGTCTCCCGTGTGGTCGCCAGCAGGGCCAGGAGCGCGCGGACGGAGCGACGAGGACCTGGCCGCGGAGACACACTCACATGCACTCACTCGCTGACACCCAGCACTGGCCAGTCGGCGCAGGGATGCAGGGGGCAGGTTGACACACAAAGGCACACGCTCATGTGGACACACGGGCACACTCATGCATGGGCGCGCTCATGCTGGCATACACACTGACATTCACTGCCACATGTCAGCACATCCAGTGACACACTGTCACACACTCACTGGTACACACTCATCAACACGTTCTTGCTGACAGTCATGTTGGCATACACAGGTCACACTTCAACACATACCAATGGTAACACACCTTCATGCTGCCGCACACATGTTGGCCGACCCTGATGCATACGCTATCACTTGCACTGACCTTAACAAACACTCTCACTGAGACACACACGTTCTTACCCTTACCAACAGGAACACTTATGTTGGCATGTCTCTCACCAACACAGTGTTCAACAGGCTACGCCAACGCTGACCTCCACAGACACACATCAGACTAACGCCCACACAGACACCCCAGGTCACATGCCAACAGCCCCTGGCCGCTGATACACTCCAGGTCCCTGCAGGTGGAGAAGTGGAAACACACGCACCACACAGGGTGGGAGGCCCCCTGGAGCCTGGGAAAATGCCTCCATCCACATTTCCTTTCCCTCTGACCTCCCCAAGGCCTTCGGTGGTGGCTGGGATCTGCTTGCGCTGGGGGTGGGGAGGGCCCTCCTGTCTCTTAGGAGCCTGCCTTGCTCAGAAAGGGAGAGGGATGCCTCTGAAATGGGAAACTGGGACAGAAAGGGGAGGGGGCTGGGGCCCAAGGCAAGCCCCGGTCAGGCACTCAGCTTTGTCACCCTAGTTCTACTCCTTCCCTCAGCCAACTCCCCTTAAGTTCCCATACAAGCTTCTCCCTTAGCTGCTCTCACTCCTCTGCAACCCCCTTATTCATTTTCTTTCTTTACCCCCTTCTGTCCTTGTGCCCCACTTCTCCCTCCTCTCTTCCCTCTCTGCACCCGCCCTTACTCTCTCCTTGCTTCCAGTAATTATTTCTTGAGTGCCTGGGGTGTACAAGGTATAATATGGGGATCAAAGATGTCCAAAACCTGTTCCTTCCCCAAAGCATCTAATAGACTAGAGAGAAACGGCCCCCATGGTCATCATGTTTCGGGACCTCTGACAAAGCAATGTACCACTCACTGCCATCTGACCCTGTCTCTCAACAACCTGAGAAAAGTAATTTTTTTTAAACACATTAAAAAAATGTATTTATTTATTTTTGGCTGTGTTGGGCTGTGTTGCTGTGCACGGGCTTTCTTTAGCTGCGGCTAGTGGGGGCTACTCTTTGTTGCGGTGCGTGGGCTTCTTATGGCGGTGGCTTCTTTTGTTGCAGAGCACGGGCTCGAGGCGCGCAGGCTTCAGTAGTTGTGGCACATGGGCTCAGTAGTTGTGGCGTGTGGGCTTAGTTGCTCCGCGGCATGTGGGATCTTCCCGGACCAGGGCTCGAACCCGTGTCCCCTGCATTGGCAGTGGATTCTTAGCCACTGCGCCACCAGGGAAACCCCAACCTGAGAACAGTCTTTCAGAGATTATTTCCATTTTCCAGAAGGAGAAACTGAGACTCAGAGATAACTTGTGTTCCTAAGTTTTAGAAACTGCTTCCCAGCCATCCTCCTGATGGCTCTGCAAGGAGGTTAGCTTTCCTCTTCCTGTTTTCCAGAGGAGGAACCAGAGCTTAGAGAGGCTACCTGACTTGCTTAAGGTCAAGAGGGGTCAGAGACAGGATGGAGGCTGGAGTCTACTTGGGCCATTGCTCTGTGGCTCACCCTTGGGCACTGTCAAGCCCCTCGTGGGCCCTGGTTTGAGGCCCAAGAGGGATGGCCTGCTCTGTGTGTGGAGGCCCAGCTGGTGGTGGAGGCTGCAGAAGGTCATGAGGCATCTGCCTTCACCTTGATGGCTAGTCCCCATTGCTGAACTGGTGACTCACGCCTCTGTCCTCAGCAGGAGCATGTGTGACCCTCTCCTCCACCACATCCATGTCCCCCATTGCCAAGATCCTCCTGACCTCTGAGGTCAGACTTTTCTCCCCGCAGGGAGTCAGGAGCCCTTCTTCCTCTCTCAGTCCTCACGTGCTACTTCACCATCAGGGTGACTCAGCCCCTCCTGGGCCTTGGTTAGCCTCACTGTGACTTGGGGGAAAGTGTCATTGTTCTCCTGCTGGCATAGGTTGTCAGCAGGATGGGGACACCATGAACAGCCAGGCACCTGTTGGAGACCCAATCTTTGGGGCCAAGCATTTTCCACGACTCCCCCTTCTCTCACTCTAACTCACTGGGGGAGCTTGAGGACCTTGGACAATGGTCCTCACCTCTCTGGACCCTATAGTGTTCCTGTCTGTAAACTGTAGCTATCAATACCTAACATTTTCAGGGCTCTCCCTGTGTTTCCTGAATATACTGGGCAGGGGAGGAGGTGCTGCCAGAAGCCTGGTGCCCAGGCCTGGCTATGGTCCATGTAACGGTGGCCCTGCTGTCTCTTCCGGTCTCCCCTGTAGTCCCAGGAGGGCTCCCTCTCCCTTCCAGACAGGTTTCCTGAGTAATTTGGAAGAGAAAGACAAAATCAATAATGGGCTGTACCTTGCCTTGTTCTGTAAACTGTGGGATTCTACTTTATCTCTGTCTTAGAAGAAGAGGCTTGCAAGTATCCAATACTCCAAGGATCAGCAGTCGTTGCATCCATCCTGCACCTGGATTTTCAACCCGCACGTGAAAGTGACAATGAGAATTTTTCAGAAACTGTCACTGCCCTCTAGGGAGTCCCAGGGTCAAGGGGGAAAGAGGGCATGAGACGAATACCTGGATAGGACTAATTACAGGTCGTGTGATGACTGTTCTAACAAGTGCTCTAGGAGCAATCATACAGCCATTCAACAAATGTTGACCAAGTGCCGGGGCCGGCGGTTCAGAGGTGAATGGCTCTACTCTGTTTCCAAAAGACTGAGAGCAGAGCAGATGATTATAATGCAGGGTGACATGTGCTGTGGGAGGCTGAAGGAGGAGCCCCCCCGCCCCAGTCTTGGCAGGGGGCATGGTGAGGGAAGCTTTCATAGGAAGGAGGATGGGGGCAAGGGGGTGGGACCGGGGACGTCATTCCTGGCCGGGGGTACAGAATGTGACAAGGCTTGGAGGCATGAAGCAGCCTGCGGGTTGGGCTGGGGTGATGGGTGAGAGTGAACACGGGCCAGTTATCAACAGGCTGGGATGTCAAGCTAAGGAGAGGAGATTTTCTCCCAAAGTCCCTGGTGACTCAGAGAGGACTGTGGGGAGGGGAGGGATGGGAGCAGATCTTTGTTTTGGAGGGATGCCTTTGGCAGTGGCAAGGAGGGGCAGGCCTGGATGCAGGGAGACCGGTGAGGAGACGGAGGAGGAGCCTGAGAGAAGGCAAGATCCGATCTAAGGCTTTGGCAAGGATGGAACCGAGAAAGATGAACAAGGAGCTGGAGTCCATTAGCCTTGCTGCCTGGATGCCTGGTTATGTGTCAGCTTTACATGCATGATCCCATTTGGTTCTCCCTGTGATCCTATTAGTGTGAGGACTGTTGTTCCCGTTTTACAGATCAGGAGACAGACTAGGAGAGATTAAGTAATTTGTCCACTGCCATTCAGCCAACGAGCTTCTGAACCCAGGCCTGTCTGTCCTGCTGCTCCGTGCTTTCACCCAGAGGGACGGGGTTGTCTGGCTCATAGGTGGCCTCCCCCGTCTCCCTGGTGGCCTCATTCTCAAGTTGTGCGTCCCTTCTGGTTCTTGCTGTCCCCACTAATTCAACTGGCAATATACAGGAGCAAAGTTGAACAACAGGAGGGACTTCCTGAGAGGTGATGGGACGGAGTGGCATTTCGTTTCCTACAGATGTTTACGAACTCTTCTTTTTTGGCAGAGAAGGAGGGTGGGTGTGATGGGGACACGTAATCACCAGCTCTCTGCGAACCTTGGCTGTTGTCTCCCTTGGTGGTTAAGCTCTGTGTGATCCATCTTGGCTGGAACATAGGGGAAGTCCTGTGGCTTTGGCCAGGGGTGCTTATGGGGCTGCTGGGAGTGGAAGCATTGAGCTTGACCCATCTTCTCTGATCCTTGAACTCCGGGCTGGCCTCTGGGCTTCACACGTCTCCCCAGCTCTCTTTCTTCTGAGTTTGGGCCTCCTTGCCCAGGGTGGAAACCTCCCACTGGCATGGGTTCAGGGGTCCTGAGTCATGGGTGTGCCATACCTCGGGGCTGTGGCAATGGAAGAACAATAGCCTGGGAGTCAGCACGGCCCGAGTGGCCTCCTGGCCTCTGCCAGGCCATCCTCCACAGCGACCATGCTGACCACTGTTGAGGCCTGCAGGGGGTGGCAGCTTGACAGGGAGTCAGGCTGGAAGTTGAGGAAGATGTAGGGAGGCTTCTGCATAGATGGGTCCGGATCTTGGGGCAGGGATGGACGTGGGAGGCAGGGATTTGAAAGTCTTCGGGTTAGAGGTGGTGTTTGACTTGGGGATTATGGGTGACATGGTACAGGGAGAGGGAGAAGATAGAGCGTATGAAGAGAGGATGGCTGGGGGCATTTGAGGCTTTGGAGAGCACATGCCTGGGGGTGGAGAGAGGAGGGAAGGACCAACAGAGGATGAGCTTGGGAAAGACCCCTGGGATTTAGGCAGAAGGCAGTGGCTGGTGACTTGGTGAGAGGGGTTTTGATGGAGGCATGAGGGCAAAGCTGGGTTACAGCAGGCAGAGGAGAGAAGAGAAGGACCTTGCTTTTCTCTGTGCCTGGAGCT